GGTGGTGAGACACTGGAACAGGTTGCCCAGAGAAGCTGTGGCTGCCCCATCCCTGGAGGTGTTTGAGATCAGGCTGGATGGGGCTTTGAGCAACCTGGTCTGGTGGGAGGTGTCCCTGCCCATGGCAGGGGGGTTGGAACTGGATGATCTTTTAAGGTCCTTTCCAACTCTAACTATTCTGTGATTCTGTGAGTCTGAAAACATGTCCATGTGAAACTTAAGTTTCACGGCCTCTGCTTCCCACCAAGCAACCAAGTGCCCTCCTCTCAACTCCAAGCCCTGGGGCAGCTCCCCAGGCACGGTGGTTTAGTGGTCTTCCTGGCAGTCATTCAGCTCAGGCACCCCTCACCTTTCTCCAAGCAATCAATCTAGTATGTCAGTCTCGTATGTCAGCCATTAGTCAAAAGTTTCTTTTTTGCTCAGCATCTCCCAGGGAATTGCCTTCATTATTTCCTCTCCTCCCACTGACAGACCAGCCTGCTCCTTCCCAAGCTTGCGGAGAGCTTTCCCAGTGGGACTGTGCTGCCGGAGTGAGAGGCACGGCCTTCTCCTTGAGGGATGCAGCAGTGAGACCCACACTTGCAGACCTTCTTGGTGTCTTGGTGGCTCCAGCGACAGCAGGCAGGCAGCCCTACCCAGGTTTGGAGAGCTTCCTGCAGTGGCAGACACCCATCTGGCGTCATTCACAAAGGTACTATTTTTGTTATTTACCCTTTGCATCGTTACAGATGTGACTGAGGACCTTTTCCCTCACTGGAGGTTTCTGTAGCTGTGCCTGTGTGGGCTGGTGACATTTTCTGAACCTGTTTACACCTAAATCAGAAGTGTACTTATGACTGCCAGTTACCTGCATCTTTTTTTTTTTTTTATCATTATTATTTTAATTTAAAGGATGTCATAAAGTTCATTAAATGAAATACAGTTCCTGCTCCAAATCTCACCGAAGTCGACGACAGGTCACTGATGTCAGCAGGCTTTGGGTCAGACCCCTGGGCTTTTCCTAATTCATTTTTCCTTCAAAGCGTTTTGAGCCACAGAGCGGTTGTCGCTTTGGCGTGCCCTACAGAATGAGCTTCAGAGAGTCAACTTCAGAATTCCCACACTAAGGAGCTGCTCGGTGCCTGCAACCCTTTGGTGTGATCAAACAGCAAAGGAGAAGATGAAGAAATCCAAAGATTAACTAGAGAAGATAACCATAGCAAGAGGTCAAAGGCGTTTAAGGATTCCTTTTGAGAAGCAAAGTGACATCTAAAGGGATGAAGGTAAAAGAGACCATAGAGAAAGTAGGTCAACACTGAATGTAAGAGAGATATGAAGAGGCTCCTATTGTGGTATCAAAGTGCTTTTGTAAATCAGAGTTACGTGAACAGTCAGTCAGAAAGAATGATACTATCAAAGTCACAATGTTTTTTATCTGCCTGTAACTTCATGCACTCATGAAATTATATAAATGAAAATATTAAAAAGTTATGTGCTTCCCATTTTCACAGCCCTTCAGATATTTTTGGATGAAATGTAACAGCTGTGGTTACTGGCTCTGGAAACTCAAGTTCTGTTTCCATAAAACAGCAGTAAAGTATACATCCTTCCCAGGTGGGGAGAGATTCATTCAGTTGTCTGCTCATTCATTTTTAACTGTGCTGAGGAGATTGCCAAAGAAATTTCCATTCGTGGTGATGATTTCGGAATGTCAGTATTTGCTGACCAAACACAATTATTTCACAAAGGCCATCCTATGGCCAGGGTCTGATGCAAAAATATGTAATTTGGGCGTCAGGGAAAACGGGAGAAGCACCAGCACAGGCTACAGAGATGCTGGAAGATTCATCTTTGGAAGGATGCGCCACCCATGACCCACCCGCAGCACATCTGCAAAGTGTCCTCTCCTGAAGTGAGCCACCTAGGGCACCAGGCTCCTCTGAAGCTGTTCTGATGATCAAGGAAACATCTCCATGCCAGGCTTTGGGCCACCACTGTGCCCCAACAACCACTGCATACTGATGGGCTGGAAGGAGCTGCAGAGACATGAGACACAAGCCTTATGAGGAGCAGCTGAAGGAGCTGGAAGATGAAGCTGGTGAGGGGTCTGGAGCACAAGTCTTGTGAGGAGAGGCTGAGAGAACTGGGGTCATTTAACTAGGAGCTGGAAGATGAAGCTGGTGAGGGGTCTGGAGCACAAGTCTTGTGAGGAGAGGCTGAGAGAACTGGGGTCGTTTGACTTGGAGAAAAGGAGGCTGAGGGGAGACCTTATCACTCTCCACAACTACCTGGAAGGAGGTTGTAGCGAGGTGGGTTCAGTCTCCCAAGTCACAGGCGATAGGACAGGAGGAAATGGCCTCAAGTTATGCCAGGGGAGGTTTAGATTGGATATAATGAAAAATTTATTCACTGAAAGGGTTGTCAAGCATTGGAACGGGCTGCTGAGGGAGGTGGTGGAGTCACCATCCTTGGAGGTGTTTGAAAGACAGGTAGATGTGGCGCTGAGGGACGTGTTTAGTGGCATTTTTTGTCAGTGTTCGGTGAAGGGTCCCTTGCAACCGAGGCAACCCTATGATTCCGTGAGCGTCATCCTCCGCCCTGCTGGGGACGGGGAGGGACGGGACGCCGAGTGGGCGGTTGGAATCAGGCGGGGAGGGCTAAACCGGGGTGAGGCGTGGGGGTCAGGCAGCATTTCGGCCGGGGGAAAGCCCGATCCTGAGCCCGCCCCCGGCCCGCCGCCTCCGCCCGCCCTGAGGAGCTCCTCCCCGCAGCCCGCCGCCATGTCGGGCCCGCCCGCGCCGCTGCTGCCGCTGCTGCTGTTGGGGCTGCTGGTGGCGGGCGGCGGCGGGGACCAGCCCCGCTACGAGCCCACCTGGGGCTCGCTGGACGCCCGGCCGCTGCCCGCTTGGTTTGACGAGGCGAAGTTTGGCGTTTTCATCCACTGGGGCGTGTTCTCGGTGCCCAGCTTCGGCAGCGAGTGGTTCTGGTGAGCTCCGCGGCCTGGCCCTGACCCCGGCCCGGCCCGGCCCGGCCCGCAGGCCTCCCCGTGGGGCAGCTGAGGGGGGTGGCACCGAGGTGGCTGCTGCGGGTGGGTGGTACCAGCCATCTGAGGGAGAGAGCAGCTCTGTGGGCCTGTGGGGTTAGGTTTGGTGTCCCCCCAAAGGGGTGGTTGGGCATAAAGCCCCTCTGCAGTCAGGCCCTGGGGCTGAGGCCCGTGGGATGAGGCATAAACACACCAGAGGCCAGTCAGGGGGACCATAGACTTCATGGCGCTGCTTATGAGGGAAGCAGGGCTTGATGTGCTTCTGGTACATCTGACCGTCTGCCTGCCCAGCCCTAAAACTCTTGAGTGTGTTGGCTGATGTGGACCAAGCTGAGCAGAGGGCTGGAATGCCTGCTTTCCAGACCGCTGGTGAGGGGTCTAGAGAAAAGTCATAGGAGGAGAAGCTGAGGGAACTGGGCATGTTTAGTCTGGAGAAGAGGAGGCTGAGGGGAGACCTCATTGCCCTCTGCAACTACCTGAAAGGAGGGTGTGGAGAGGTGGGTGTTGGCCTCTTCTCCCAAGGGAATAATGACAGGACCAGAAGAAAGGGTCTAAAGTTGGGGCAGGGGAGGTTTAAATTAGATATTAGGAAGAATTGCTTTACTGAGGGAGTGGTCAGGCACTGGAACAGCCTGCCCAGGGAGGTGGTAGAGTTGCCATCCCTGGAGGTATTTAAGAAACGTGTAAACATGGCACTTCAGGGCATGCTCTAGTGCCCAAGATTGGTGGTTTGTGTCTCTGTGTTTTCTATTTGGTTTTTTTTGTTGTTGTTGTTTGTTTGGGGTTTTTTTATGTGGTTGGACTTGATGATCGCAAAGGTCCCTTCCAACCATGAAGATTCTGTGATCTGTGAGGTGGTCAGTTGAGTGGCAGAGCGTGGCCTCTCCAGGGCCGCGATGAAGGGATGGATGAAGGAGTGCATCCTGTGGGGATGGATGGATGCTGGAGATTTCCCAGCCTTCAGGAAAGCCTTGAGCAGCTCTTGCCAGAGCACTGGTGGCACTACCTGTGGGGAGCACAGGAGTCCATCGCTACCTCCATCACTGCCCTGACTTGGCAAACTGCCTGCAGTTTTCTTGCACATATTTTGTGCAGTTAATGATTTTCTTCTTTTTTATTACTATTTTTATTAATGAGTACTTTCTGCTGAAACTAAAGCTCTGATTCTTCAAATAATTACAATTCAAAAGCTGAATAAAACCTTTGTTTTGTGAGCGTTCACTGGTTGGGCCCTTTAGCTGTAAGCATTTTTCTGCTATCTTCTTTCCATGCTCTACCAAACACTTCCTCTTTTTTATTACTATTTTTATTAATGAGTACTTTCTGCTGAAACTAAAGCTCTGATTCTTCAAATAATTACAATTCAAAAGCTGAATAAACCCTTTGTTTTGTGAGCGTTCACTGGTTCGGGCCCTTTAGCTGTAAGCATTTTTTTGCTATCTTCTTTCCATGCTCTACAAAACACTTCCTCTGAATAAAACCTTTGTTTTGTGAGCGTTCACTGGTTGGGCCCTTTAGCTGTAAGCATTTTTCTGCTATCTTCTTTCCATGCTCTACCAAACACTTCCTCTTTGACTTCAAGGGAGTCACGTTATCATTTATGATATGAAGATAACAGCAGCTCTGTGGCAGAGCTATGGTAAACCTTAAATGCAATATTTGTAACTCAAACCAACATCAATACAAACAAACCACCGTTTTCTGACAGTATTTAGTCTGTTCTTTTCAGAGTGATGTTCAAGGATTTCAGCAGTTTAGCTTTCCTGGTGCTGGTGGTGAGGGAGCTAGCTTCGGCTTCAAGCATTTCTCTAAGAGCTGTGCTCCAGTAGTGGTGCACAGATTCAGGATCAAGCATTTGTTTTTTGTTGTTGTTCTAAGAAGACCCCCAAACACTGTAGTTGATGAAATTTTTATATTCCTGTAACCTCCCATGGTTGGGCACATGTGGCAGCACGTTCAGTCGGATGATTGGGATCCTGTGTTAGCAGCTTCAAATGGAAGGTCATAGGCTCTGATATCACCCAGCCTGTGCTCCTTCCCTCAGAGCTGCACAGACTTGGTCAGGATGCCTCTACAATCTAATTGCCTCTACAATCTAATTGTCAGAGTAGAAGTGCTCATGTTAGCAAATCATGTGACGAAGGGAGAGAAGCAAGGATGTTACCTGTTTCTTTATGCGATTACATACTTTAAAATCAGAGTTGTGGGTTGGTTTTTTTCCCCAGGTTCTTTCAATGAGTAAGGCTGTCTCAGCCTCTTTCTTCTAGGTTTTTTTTCCCCTGTTGGATACCAAAGATCATGCTTGTTTATGCTGAAGGACAGACTTGGTCAGGATGCCTCTACAATCTAATTGCCTCTACAATCTAATTGTCAGAGTAGAAGTGCTCATGTTAGCAAATCATGTGACGAAGGGAGAGAAGCAAGGATGTTACCTGTTTCTTTATGCGATTACATACTTTAAAATCAGAGTTGTGGGTTGGTCAAGCTCCAACAGGGTAGGTTTAGATTGAACATTAGGAAAGAATTTTTCACCGAAAGAGTGATAGGGCATTGGAACAGGCTGCCCAGGGAGGGGGTGGAGTCACCATCCCTGGCTGTGTTTAAGGGCCGTTTAGATGCAGTGCTAAGGGACATGGTGTAGGGGAGGACTTTGTAGAGTAGGGTAGGTGGTTGGACTCGATGATCCCAAGGGTCTCTTCCAACCTAGACGATTCTATGATTCTATGAATAAGGCTGTTAATGCAGTAAGGACTGTTGTGTGCTGGTTTTGGAGCTCCTCTTTCATTGCTGGGTGAGGGAGGGATGGAGCATGTTGATAGTGTTCTATTGGTGATTTAGGACCTCTGCCCATGAGGAGGGTGAGAGACCACCTTCAGATCACAGAGTGGACTGGTGACTGTACTGGTCACTGTCACGGGGAAGCATGGGATAGAAATTGTGCCTGTCTTTGGTAGGTGGGATGCAAAAAGAGGTCATCACCTTATTTTTCTTTCTCATTCCTAAATCTGTGTGCTTTTATAAGTGTGTGGGGCTCTTGCAGAGGCAGGTTGTTGTTGTAGGATGCCTTTGCTTCAGAGCCTCAGGTGTGCAGCGGCTGGAGCCACAGCTCTCTCCTGCTCTGGGACCATTGGCATCTGCTCACACATCAGGTCACCCAGCTGCCTTTGGCTTAGAGGACTCTGGACCAGCAGAGAGGGAAAGCTGCTGGCCTGCATGTTTGTGGGTTGCAGGAATTGAGGGGGGTTTGGAGAGGGCAAAGCAGAGATGATCTGGTGGCTGATGCATGACACGTGAGGAGGGTAAGTCACGTTAGTCCAGAAAAAGTGCATTCCTTGTGCCAGGTGAGCTGCTTACATGGATGGTCTGCCTAGGTATGGATTTGTGTGCTGAAGAAGACTGCCATTTTCCCTTTCTCCAAGAGTAGTAGCTGCTTTGTGACATTGCTCGAAATGAAATCCTGGGACCTTTCCAAAATGGAGTGCTTGAAAGATGTAGATCGTGGGGAAAGAGGACAGAGAAAAGGAAATATTTGATAATTATACTATTCTGAAACAGTTTTGTCTTATTGCCAGAGTCACGTACCTGTAGTACCTGTGCTTCTCAGCGTGAACACAAATAGGAGCTGATTATTTCAATTCTCCTTTCCTTGTCTAAAAATACACCAGCACGTTTTGCTCTGTATTTTGTAGGTGGTACTGGCAGAAAGAAAAGAGAGAGCCCTATGTGAAATTTATGCAGGCAAATTACCCACCTGAGTTCAGTTATGAAGATTTTGGGCCACTGTTTAAAGCAGAATTCTTTGATCCCAACCAGTGGGCAGATATTCTGAAGGCTTCTGGTGCAAAATACGTTGTCTTAACTTCAAAACATCATGAAGGTAAGTGGAAGGTTTGTGAATGTTAGTAACTGTTGCATTTCTGTCGACAGAAGGAAAATCCAGGTGATTTTCCTGCCTGTGAAGAGATCTAGAGAAAACCAGGCCCTCACCTGCCCCAACCCAGCCAAAGAAGAAACAAACCACACAAGAAATGTGTGTTTTCATGACTCTTACCCAAAAGCTGTGGCTGTGTAGCTTGCATAGAGGAAAAATATATTATGCCATTTTTCTGTTGCTGTAAATAAGACAGCCTGAAATGAAGGGGGCAGCTGAGTTTCCTGCGGTATCCATAGTTTATTTTTTATTGTCGTGCAGTTTATTGCTGAAGGAACCACCGAAGTGAATTCTGCACAGTTTGATGTATGGAGAGCTGCAGCTCTGGAGGCTTCTCCAAGGAATTTAGGAGTATGTTCCAGGAGTTGGCTTCAGAGTTAGAAACGTACACAGGGTACAGCTCTTCCTGATGCAGTGCATAGAAGCCAAAACCTTGAAACGGGTCTTTAACTTCACAGGCACAATTGATTTTTGGCACTGGAATTGTGAGATGCTTTGCAGATAAAGAAATGGAAAGTGGTTGGAAGGAAATACAGTAGCAAAGGAAGTACAAAATACTAAGATGCAATATGACAGTACGTCAGGTGAATGTTGTTGGTCTTCAGGGAGATGTGGGTTCAAGACTGGCAGCTTATAACTTGTGAATTTTAATCTCAACTCTGACACGCATAAGATCTAGATCTTGATGATGCCCATGGCGTAATTCCCAGTCACTTCAAAAGAACCATGATTCATTTAGTTTGTCCTGTAGCCTTGGGCATGAATTTTTAGCTTGTTTGTCTAGTCGATACAGTTACATGTATGCAGTTCATAAAAATATTGCCAAATTTATTAGGCAATGAGAATAAAGCAGGTTGAAGGTGAGAGTGGAGCTCCTCTGGCAGAGGTCTAAGTCTGCAGTGCTTGTGCTGCATTGCTGGATGACTGAAACATTAAATCCCTCCTGATATTTAATGCTGGTATTTTAAAAGCTGTTTCAGGAGTGTTTGCACTCTGTTCATGTATGTGTACCGAGTAGTTGATTGAGCTGTTATAAATGTCAGGACAAATGAGGAGTGAACATTTGCATAAGATCTAAACGGGAGGGACAATAGTGTCTGGACACAAGTGGTACCCTGTGCATTCTGGAACTGAGAAAGCATTTTGTCTTCCAGTTGCTGAATGTGTTTTCACAGTTTATGTTTGATACATTCAATGAAAATGTAGGTGCCTCAAAAGTTGCTGTATTTTTGGTTAATTTAACTGGGACATATGAATGGAGTGAGTAATTAAGGAGATGGAATAATTATCCTAAGCAGTACAGAACTGGAAAATTGAATGTTTTATATAAATGCATGTATGTTTGAATAAAAATAATACATAAACATATCTGGCATGATGTTTTGATGTTATGATTACTATCATGCATAAACAGGTTATAGGCATAGTCTATACCATGATAAAAATATTATTACATATGATTTTTATTATATCTTTTTTTTTTTTGCAACACACTTGCAGACTACTTTTCAGCAGGAGGAACTCTAACTTCCCCTCTTCTGCTTCCCTTTCTTATCCTTTGATTTTTCTCTTTCCAGGCTTTACTTTGTGGGGGTCCAAATATTCTTGGAACTGGAACGCTGTTGACGTGGGACCAAAACGAGATCTTGTGGCTGAACTGGCAACATCTGTTAGAAACAGGACTGACTTGCGTTTTGGGTTATATCATTCCCTGTTTGAGTGGTTTAATCCTCTCTTCCTTGAAGATGCCACCAACGTCTTTAAGACAAGAAAGTTTCCAACCAGTAAATCGTTACCAGAACTGTATGAAATTGTGACCAAGTACCGACCGGAAATAATTTGGTCTGATGGGGATGGAAACGCACCAGATGTTTACTGGAACAGCACTGGTTTCTTGGCTTGGCTGTATAATGACAGGTACATAACGGTGCTGGTTTAGTTCCTTATCTGGAATTCTGCTCAGTGTCTAGTTTTGTCTTGTTTTCTGTATGTTTTGTGGAACCTGTTCCACCTACTTAAGAAGACTTAACTATTTTTCCTGAAGGCTAGAATCCAGGTCTTCCCTAAAACTAACAAAGGTTGCTTTAGAAAAAGACTGTTTCATACTTTCAAAGCCACATCTGCAAATTAATCAATTAAGGTGGTATTGGCTGTTTTACCTAATCATATTTTTTCCTTAAGTATTGTCAGCTGCACAGACAAATGGGATAGCTGGAGAACATGGGTATGTTGTCATCACGGAGGAGGGAGCCAGACTCTTTTCAGTGGTTCCCAGTGAGAGGACAAGGGGCAACGGGCACAAGTTGGAACATAAGAGGTTCCACTCAAATATGAGGAGAAACTTCTTCACGGTGAAGGTGACAGAGCCCTGGAACAGGCTGCCCAGGGAGGGTGTGGAGTCCCCTTCCTTGGAGATTTTCAAGACCCGCCTGGATGCTCCTGAGTAACATGCTCTAGCTCTGGGCAATTCTGCTTCAGCAGGGGAGTTGGACTAGATGATCTCTATGGTCCCTTCCAACTCTAAAATTCAGTGAAATTCAGTGAAATCTGACAGTGGGTATGAAGTGCAGGCTACTTTGGGCAGAAATGCTGATCTGGGCCTTTTACTGGAAACTGATGAGAATAGGATTCCTGAAATTGCACCGAATGTAATTATAATAATTTCATAGTACGGAAGTCATCCTAAATATTACTTTCTGGGAGGGGTGTGTGTGGGAAGGGCCTACACTGGCTGTGACTGTATTTTTTTTTTAGAATAAAAATCATACAATTTCTCTGTTTCTAGTCCAGTGCGGGACACGGTAGTGACCAATGACCGCTGGGGAGTTGGCAGCATCTGTAGGCACGGTGGCTTCTACACATGCAGTGACCGGTATAACCCTGGACACCTCCTGCCCCACAAGTGGGAGAACTGTATGACCATCGACAGGAAGTCCTGGGGGTACAGGAGGGACGCACGGCTGGACGACTACCTCACAATCGAGGACTTGGTCAAGGTACAGTGGGGCAAAGGGGTTGCCTGCAACTTCTGATTCTTCCTTCTGGAGAAGAGGAGGCTGAGGGGAGACCTTATTGCTCTCTACAACTCCCTGAAAGGAGGGTGTAGCCAGGGGGGTCGGTCTCTTCTCCCAAGTCACAGGTGACAGGACAAGAGGAAATGGCCTCAAGTTGCGCAGGTCCCTTCCAACCTAGAAGATTCTGTGATTCTGTGACTATATCATGCTGTGTAACATTCCAATTACGTATCTGTTTTAATTAAAAAAATATAATTTAATTGATTAATGAATTGATGAAATAATCATTTTGTTCATTTGCAGCCTAACACTGGCAGGATGGAAAATCCATGTAATTCTTACTAATTTTATAGAAATAACTAAGAGGAAAAATTATCTAGTAAAAATGTAGTTGGTTTCTTTAGAAGCTGTTTCCCCAGTGGGTAACTGGCCAAAGACTGATCTGGATAGACTCATAATTACCTTTTCTACTAAGTTTTTCTTAGTAGAAGAAAAGTTACTTACTTTTCTAAGTAACTGCCCCTCCAGGCTGATGAGAAGCAGTTTCACAGTTCCTTGTTAGGGACTCCTGATTGAAGGCTACAACTTTCTAGGAGCTAGAAACAGTTTATAAGTCTTAATAATTTTTTTATCTTGTAGCGAGAAGCCTTCCTTTCATCCCAGCTCATTTAAAGAGGAAAAAAAACCACCACCACACTTATTACAGACATACAGATAAACACTAGCAGATGCAGACAGCTGGAGTTAATAGAACATTGATTCCCTTTGCTAGTCTCAAGGTATTAACAAAAAGATCTGAAGCTTAGGACAACTGAACGAAAGGAAGACTGATCGATCTTGAAGAGAAATGCATTTAATAGCAAAATTTCAGCTACTGAGTTATTGTTGTTAATCCAAATCCGTGCATAGTCCTTGCAAAAGATAATTTCAAATTGAAGTAACCTCTTTGTAGAGGCAGAAGGTTTAAATTCATTCCGTAGCTTGTCTGTTCCCCAGACTTGTGCATCTCAGTGATCTCTGGAGGGCAGTGTGGATGTGAACACAAATATTGATGGACTCTGTAGAAGGCTTCCTCATGTTTTACAACTTTCTCCCCAAAATAGGGAGAGCATCAGAGGGGAAAAAGAATTTACTTCTCTCAGCCTCAGTAAAAATGAATTGTCATCTTTTGACCTTATTCTCCTCTCATGTAGAGGAATCACCTGTCTGTTCTATTGGTGCAACCCTCATGAAATTGCTGCGGAAGTCGAAATGTTAGAAAATTGTAAGATCTGATTCTAACGTAAGATGTATTGGTGCAAAGATATATTTTGGGCTGTTTTCTGCCATAAAAATTGACAGCAGAGCTTTGCTTTATGCAGCTTAAATTCTTTATTGACTGTTGGGATGACCCCCAAAGTCTGGAAACATGCATCAGTGACATAACCCGTTCAGTTGATCGTTCTGAAAGCAGTGTGCCTGGCGTTAAGAAATAACTTCAAATATTTCATTAGCCTTAACCATATGCTCCGTGTATGTGTTTTTAAAAAACATTTCAGCAACTGGTGGAAACAGTGTCTTGCGGAGGGAATCTCCTGATGAACATCGGGCCCACTCACGACGGCCGCGTCGCGGTTGTGTTTGAGGAACGCCTGAGGCAGATGGGTGCCTGGCTCAACGTCAACGGAGGAGCCATCTATGGAACAAGGCCGTGGAGAGCACAGAACGACACGGTCACACCAGACGTGTGGTAAGGCTGCTCAGGCAGTGTGGGCTGGGCAAAGCACATGGGAAACGTTCAAATTCTTAATGACTTGATGCTACAGCAATCACCAGTTTGGTCTGGCTGCTGTGAAGGAATTAACCCTTTTGCCAATTTAAGTAACTGCGCCTAAAATGTGTATAAAACTGTAGGTAGGCAATGGATGTTGCCTTAGTGGTCTTGTGCTTCTCACTGTAGCCAGCAACAGAAACTATAAAAAAATGTATCTAACCTGGAAATACAAACTGCTCTGAAGCTAAAATTCAGTGAAATTCAGTGAAATCTGACAGTGGGTATGAAGTGCAGGCTACTTTGGGCAGAAATGCTGATCTGGGCCTTTTACTGGAAACTGATGAGAATAGGATTCCTGAAATTGCACCGAATGTAATTATAATAATTTCATAGTACGGAAGTCATCCTAAATATTACTTTCTGGGAGGGGTGTGTGTGGGAAGGGCCTACACTGGCTGTGACTGTATATTTTTTTTAGAATAAAAATCATACAATTTCTCTGTTTCTAGTCCAGTGCGGGACACGGTAGTGACCAATGACCGCTGGGGAGTTGGCAGCATCTGTAGGCACGGTGGCTTCTACACATGCAGTGACCGGTATAACCCTGGACACCTCCTGCCCCACAAGTGGGAGAACTGTATGACCATCGACAAGAAGTCCTGGGGGTACAGGAGGGACGCACGGCTGGACGACTACCTCACAATCGAGGACTTGGTCAAGGTACAGTGGGGCAAAGGGGTTGCCTGCAACTTCTGATTCTTCCTTCTGGAGAAGAGGAGGCTGAGGGGAGACCTTATTGCTCTCTACAACTCCCTGAAAGGAGGGTGTAGCCAGGGGGGTCGGTCTCTTCTCCCAAGTCACAGGTGACAGGACAAGAGGAAATGGCCTCAAGTTGCGCCAGGGGAGGTTCAGGCTGGATATTAGGAAAAATTTGTTCACTGAAAGGGTTATCAGCCATTGGAATGGGCTGCCCAGGGAGGTGGTTGAGGCACCTTCCCTGGAGGTGTTCAAAAGACAGGTTGATGTAGTGCTGGGAGGTATGGTTTAGTGATGGTGATGCTTCTTGTTTGTTGTGTAGGTGTTTATTTTTGTCAAAATTAGGCTCACGGTTGGACAAGATGATCTTTAAGGTCCCTTCCAACCTAGAAGATTCTGTGATTCTGTGACTATATCATGCTGTGTAACATTCCAATTACGTATCTGTTTTAATTAAAAAAATATAATTTAATTGATTAATGAATTGATGAAATAATCATTTTGTTCATTTGCAGCCTAACACTGGCAGGATGGAAAATCCATGTAATTCTTACTAATTTTATAGAAATAACTAAGAGGAAAAATTATCTAGTAAAAATGTAGTTGGTTTCTTTAGAAGCTGTTTCCCCAGTGGGTAACTGGCCAAAGACTGATCTGGATAGACTCATAATTACCTTTTCTACTAAGTTTTTCTTAGTAGAAGAAAAGTTACTTACTTTTCTAAGTAACTGCCCCTCCAGGCTGATGAGAAGCAGTTTCACAGTTCCTTGTTAGGGACTCCTGATTGAAGGCTACAACTTTCTAGGAGCTAGAAACAGTTTATAAGTCTTAATAATTTTTTTATCTTGTAGCGAGAAGCCTTCCTTTCATCCCAGCTCATTTAAAGAGGAAAAAAAACCACCACCACACTTATTACAGACATACAGATAAACACTAGCAGATGCAGACAGCTGGAGTTAATAGAACATTGATTCCCTTTGCTAGTCTCAAGGTATTAACAAAAAGATCTGAAGCTTAGGACAACTGAACGAAAGGAAGACTGATCGATCTTGAAGAGAAATGCATTTAATAGCAAAATTTCAGCTACTGAGTTATTGTTGTTAATCCAAATCCGTGCATAGTCCTTGCAAAAGATAATTTCAAATTGAAGTAACCTCTTTGTAGAGGCAGAAGGTTTAAATTCATTCCGTAGCTTGTCTGTTCCCCAGACTTGTGCATCTCAGTGATCTCTGGAGGGCAGTGTGGATGTGAACACAAATATTGATGGACTCTGTAGAAGGCTTCCTCATGTTTTACAACTTTCTCCCCAAAATAGGGAGAGCATCAGAGGGGAAAAAGAATTTACTTCTCTCAGCCTCAGTAAAAATGAATTGTCATCTTTTGACCTTATTCTCCTCTCATGTAGAGGAATCACCTGTCTGTTCTATTGGTGCAACCCTCATGAAATTGCTGCGGAAGTCGAAATGTTAGAAAATTGTAAGATCTGATTCTAACGTAAGATGTATTGGTGCAAAGATATATTTTGGGCTGTTTTCTGCCATAAAAATCGACAGCAGAGCTTTGCTTTATGCAGCTTAAATTCTTTATTGACTGTTGGGATGACCCCCAAAGTCTGGAAACATGCATCAGTGACATAACCCGTTCAGTTGATCGTTCTGAAAGCAGTGTGCCTGGCGTTAAGAAATAACTTCAAATATTTCATTAGCCTTAACCATATGCTCCGTGTATGTGTTTTTAAAAAACATTTCAGCAACTGGTGGAAACAGTGTCTTGCGGAGGGAATCTCCTGATGAACATCGGGCCCACTCACGACGGCCGCGTCGCGGTTGTGTTTGAGGAACGCCTGAGGCAGATGGGTGCCTGGCTCAACGTCAACGGAGGAGCCATCTATGGAACAAGGCCGTGGAGAGCACAGAACGACACGGTCACACCAGACGTGTGGTAAGGCTGCTCAGGCAGTGTGGGCTGGGCAAAGCACATGGGAAACGTTCAAATTCTTAATGACTTGATGCTACAGCAATCACCAGTTTGGTCTGGCTGCTGTGAAGGAATTAACCCTTTTGCCAATTTAAGTAACTGCGCCTAAAATGTGTATAAAACTGTAGGTAGGCAATGGATGTTGCCTTAGTGGTCTTGTGCTTCTCACTGTAGCCAGCAACAGAAACTATAAAAAAATGTATCTAACCTGGAAATACAAACTGCTCTGAAGTCTGTGCAATGGAATACTTGGTGTCACTGTTCAAATAGGGGAGAGAAAGAAAATAGAAATCGGTCTAGCACATTGTGCATTTCTTTTTAAGGTAAGAAGTCATGGGGAGATAATGGGAATTGTTTGGCCACTGAATTCAGACAGTTCTGTGGGCTCTCCTCTGCCTTCGTGCCTCAGGGCTGCTGTAGTGCCCTAGTGATCCATCAGGGTTGTGGTCCTGACCCTCTCCTCTGCCTCGGTGGCCTTTTTACTCCTGGTCCCAGTAAGATTTGGGATTCTGGCTTTACCCTTGAAATGCTGATCTGTTGATAGTTTAGTAAAACCACTTGCAAGAGCCATAAAAAATTGTAACTAAACAAGACCTTACAGCGGCCTTTCAATACCTGAAGGGTGCCTATAGAAGAGCTGGGGAGGGACTCTTTGCCAGGAAGGGTAATGATAGGACAAGGGGAAACGGTTTTAAATTGGAAGAAAAAAGATTCAGATTAGATTTCAGGAAGAAATTTTTTACTATGAGGGTGGTGAGACACTGGAAGAGGTTGCCCAGAGAAGCTGTGGCTGCCCCATCCCTGGAGGGGTTCAAGGCCAGGCTGGATGGGGCTTGGAGCAACCTGGTCTGGTGGGAGGTGTCCCTGCCCATGGCAGGGGGGTGGAACTCGATGATCTTTCAGGTCCCTCCAGCCCAAACCATTCTACGATTCTATGAAGGGAGGAGGGAGGAATTTTTCACATGCATGAGACAAGTTTTCCAAGGACGTACTGCAGATAAATGTCTGCTGAAATTCAGTTTTAAAAAAAAGCTAGCTATGTGAGGTGGAATCTTTACTGTCACACATACTCTTGTTAATTTATTTTATAGTGGAATATCTGTACGTTTGTGTATAGATGTGAATTGCCAGATTTTTCTGAATATTACCCACAATTATCTGGTAATGATTCCTCCTGCCTGGGTGACTTAGCAGCGAGTTGTTATGGGGTTGCTAAAGTTACTAGAGATGTTTACCTCTAAATTCAGTTCTTTAATAGTCTCTGTTACCTCTAGTTTGTTGGAGCAATTGTTCAAGGACCAGTACTTTATTAAATGGTCTGGACAGATGGTTATGTGTGTGAAAATGTAATTAACGCTGTCTTTTCAAATCTGCTTATCCAGTCTTGAAAGCACTTTATGTATCACTTCAGATAATGTACAAGGAAGCACTGACGTGCATTTCTGTTCCCCGTTTCCAACCAGGTACACTTCCAGCCCTAAAGAAGGCAGAGTCAATGCCATCTTCCTCAACTGGCCACTCTCTGGGACGCTGGAACTTGGTGAGCCACGGGCTAAGCTTGGAGAAACACAGGTAAAAAGACAGCTCACCCCCTCCATCCCCACTGCCCCTTCCCCTTTAGAACGGTGAGGCTTTCAGCACACAGCGCAAGAAACGAACATCCTCTGAAGGAAAACCCCTCTAGGATTTGTCCTGTTCCATCAGTGGTTATTTTAGTTTCTGGCATCTTTGGGAACAGCTCCTAGGACAGAGCATGTTGGCAGAGACCCAGCAAAATGCTTGTTTTCCTTCTGGGACCTCCTTGTCATCGTCCTCCCAGCGGGATGTTTCTTCTCCAACCAACAAAAAGTTAGACTGAGCTGTTGCTGGGGTGTGTTTTAGCTTGGAAACTATGATCATAAAAAGAGGCCAAGAAGCAGGAAAAAACCACCCTGCTGTCCCCCCCGTTGCCTAGGTAGGCTCTAACTCAGCGTGACCTTTCTTTATAAATATCCATCCTCATGACTTTGGTGATACTCAAGACCAGGCTGGATGGGGCTTGGAGCAACCTGGTCTGGTGGGAGGTGTCCCTGCCCAGGGCAGGGGTGGGACTCAGTGATCTTTAAGGTCCCTTCCAACCCAAACCATTCCATGATTCTTTGATACTGTACTTGCTGTAACAGTGCAGCAGTTTCAAGTTGGACTTGATGATCTTTAAGGTCCCTTCCAACCCAAACCATTCCATGATTCTATGATACTGTACTTGCTGTAACGGTGCAGCAGGTTCAGGTCAAAGCCTTGCACAAAGGTTTGCACACAGAGGTTTCTGTTCCCTGAGCAGCCTAAATAGTAAGTCAGCGTGACCCCAGATGTGTGTCTTGGGGTGAGCGGTGGTCAGAAGTTGAGGCCACTGGTGTCACACCTACACGAGTGAAGTCACGTCACCCAGTGGGAGCAGATCTATAGAGCAGCCCAACTGGTGGCATTTAAAAATAACTGGATGGTAAAGTAGCCACGGAACAACATTTCTTTTGTCAATATTGCATTTTGATGCACTTTGAAAAGGCTCTGTTCTAATGATGGTGTGTGTTTCTACCTCAGGTGAAGCTGGTTGGCTACGAGGAACAGCTGAAATGGGTCGCACTGGGAGAAAAGGGAATCCTAATAACTCTACCTCAATTAACTCTGAAGCAACTGCCGTGTCAGTGGGGCTGGACTTTGCATCTGACTGGCATAAACTGAGCCACGCGCTGCTGGAGCCCTGGCTGGTAGGAAACATGGATGTTTTGCCCAGTTTCTGGGAGTTACTGGTTTCTAACCCACGCGCTGCTGGAGCCCTGGCTGGTAGGAAACATGGTTGTTTTGCCCAGTTTCTGGGCGTTACTGGTTTCTAACTCTTGCTTGACTGAGAAACAGCAATAATTTTGCTTTTTTTTGCTGTGAGGTGGGCTGGTATTAAAGAATGGAACGGGATCACCCTCACGTGAAATCTAGCACTGGGTAGTTGAATCTCAGCCTACAACTTGTTTCTTTGAACTTGGGTGAAAACTGAGCATCCACCTTGAGCTCTTCACAGTTTTAGTGGGTTTCTTGCAAAGTTAGTGAAGAACTGGGAGAGGGGGGAGGGAAAACAGGCACTAAATTTTCAAAGCCCTGAGAAAGAACAAAGCCAGCTCAGGGCAGCGTGCAGTAGATCAGACAGCAAATGCGCTGAGGTCAGTTGTAAACCTTCTTTAAGGTAAGAAATCTTAACTTCCACAAAACTGTACAGTTTTAGAGAAAAGAATAAATTTTTTCCAGGTGTGTGCAACAGCTGGCAGTTTCAACAGCCAGGTGTCTGCAAGAATAATCCTTGCAGATTAGGGTTAGGAATTAAATAAATGCATAGAGGCAAAGCATATGTACATCTTCTTTCTTATGAAAATCATTAATTTTACTATTGTTGAGTAATTCTTAACCATGGTTGGGATACAAGTAAAGAGTAAGGGGTTTTTTTGCTGTTTTGTGTAATTTTACACGGTTAAGGCTGACTCTTGTTTACAGCCATTGTTTTTAGAGTTACCAAGGTGCCTTCTGTGGACTATTAAACAAAACAAATGCTTCAATGACTAAGGGTTTGTTTCTTTTTTAAAAAAGAGCACTAGTCAGGAGTTACCAGGGCTCCCCAGCTTTGGCAGAGAGACAACATTTCAAGCAGAGGGTGAGTTGCATCCAACTTAAAAAAATTCCCAAATTCATCACGTCCCAGTGGTAGGGACGGACGCGCAGCGTGAAGCCTGCACAGAGGGGGAGGGTGATATGATACCATGATAACAAAAAGCATTAATTGTTTCAGTGTAGAGACCAAAGGTTTATTTTTCCTGAGTAATCTTAATGAGTGCAAAACTAGTATTAAATTGAAAGAACAAAACTCAACTTAAAATCTTGATATTATAAGTGATGGGCCAAAGGAGATTATTGCCTTCCCTGCTAGTAATGTTAACACAG